TAGTTCAATGACATTGAAGTCTGATAGTTAATTTTTTAATATCCAGTTTATAATTATATATACATTTAATATAATCCACATTATTCATAATCCATATTTACACCTCTTATATTTACAAATTTTCACAACTAATTTAAAACACTACGCAAATTGAATAATGTACGTTCGTTTATTATTTACACTTCTTTATTGTTGATTTTGTTTTCATATTCATACGTTTCGGCCTGTAGTGATAAGTATTGTGTAATGGAAATGTGTCAACGCAAAAACCGTACTGTTTACAATGCGATTGTGTTAGAGAGTACCGATTGCCCTTCGCAACGACTTTTAGAGTAACACTCCCGTTATTGCTTGTGAAAAGGTGAAAAAATATTAAAATAGACATTACTTTTCATTTATTTTGCGATGACAATCATGTTTAGCCAAAATTGATGTGCTGCGCATAATAAAAAAAAAAACTTTCGAGATCAGTCAAATCCATTGAAACTTCTTAACACCAAGTAAGCCACAGTTTTAATGACAAATAAATTGTTTTTGAATAATGTTTGTTGCAGATTATAAGTTAACTTATTTTCGTTTCAAAGAGGAGTCAGTTTTTTTTTTTTGCTAAATGAGATGAGTGAACATTACTACAAACACTCCGTTTCCTAGCTGCCCATAGTTATCAATTATTAAATGATTTTAACTTTGGAACACAGACTACGATATCTATGGTTGTTAATAAGGTTTTTAATATTAAAAACACCGTATTTGTGCATAGTAGAAGAAATAATAGTTCAAAAATACTAAAAAAATAACACGCTTTAAAGGAATTTTTACACCTCCTCCTATAAAGAAAGCTCTACCCTACCATCGTGTTTGTAGAATTTAATGCTTATGGCGCATTTATTTCGTCAGCTATCGCACTTTTAGTATATGTTAAATAACTGTTATATGGGGAGTGGGCGTGGTATTGTCTGATTTTGGCCATTTTCACAGCGTATGAAAAAGGACTTTATTGGTTGAATTAGCTTTAGTGGTTTAGAAGATATATACAAAATAATGGGAAACTGTTATCAAATTATTGCATTTTCATCGGTCCTTGACACATCTGCAAAGTTTCAAGTTGATCAGACTTCTGGAAACCGGTAAAATTTTGATGGAATCTTAGACCATTACATACATACAACCCAAGCTAATAAAAGCGTATTAATAATAAAACAAATGAAAAAGATTTGTTTATATTTACAAAGTTTAACTATTCAAGAATATGTCTAAAGAGGATTTTTCAAAATTCAAATTATTTTCTGAGATGTAGGAATTTTGTGAACCCGAACTTGCTGACTTAAGCCTCGAAAATCTTTACGTGTAACTTTAAACTTATTTTTCTCGAAACGATACCCACGATATCTAAGGTTCTACTAAACCGATTTTTAGAGAGTGCAGGGGGTGCCATTTCGTGAAAAAATTTGTCTAACTTTTCCGTAAAACCAGACATTGTGACAGAATTCTAGATTAATATATTTTTTTGGTTTTATATAGCTAGGAGGGTGGAAATAGTGGGTATAGTCACGTGACAATTTTTTGATCATCAGCTGCTAATTTTTGGTATTTCTAACATTTTTATTTTTTCCTGCATTTTTGTAATGTTAACAAATAGCTAATAAAAAATTGATGGTAAAAATATTAATTGCCTTGTTTTGACGACACTTCAAAAATTACCTGAAAGTCATGCCTCTATACTATAATACCCCTTTAATTATATTTTAACTGTTTCCAAATTGTAGTCCAGCTTCGGAGTTTTCTCCAGAGACTTTTTTTTACCCATTTTCTATTAATATTACGTAAATAAACGCAGTGATGTTCAACTACAAATGCTTGGTAGCAGTTGAAATTTTTTCATACTCTAGGTAACCCCACTGACACAGAGTTGAAAACCGAAATACCACCGAAATTTTGTTTGACCGGTTGAGTTGATATCGATAATACCGAATTTAAAAACGGTAATAAGGAAGTTTGAGAATAAAACTTTGCACAAATAGGGCCTTCAAAAACGAAAAAAAAAAAACAATTGCAAATTTTTTTTTGCTGCTCATCCATTTCGGCAAGCCAGCGCCGAATAGCCCAGCAGCAGATATCATAGACAGCCATGTTGAACGTGAACTTCGGTTCGATATAACTTCTTTGCTTACGAATGCAATGTGTAACATAAAGAAGTATTCATTCAGTAACTGAAGTTTTAAGACCATGCAAAATTATTATCGGCAGGATTCTCTGAACAATTGCTAGACATTGGCAATTATACTAATCACCCCTGGCTTTGTGAGCGAGGTTTTTAAGTCTCAACAATTAAGATGTTAACGCAATCAAAGTCATCAAAAAACTTAACAGTCATTGCCTGGTAATGAAATTACATTACATTGTCAACTATCCTGTAGTTTTAAAATTCACTAGTATGTTTGGAATGTAACTGCATAATTTGCGATTGAAGCTTGGCTACGAAATTTGTAGGCTCTGAAACTGTGTAATGTCACAAGACTGGTCATAAAAAAATTAAACGCCGCCATTTTTTTATCTACGGCGAATCTGGCCTTCTGCAGCAGTATGGGACTGTTTTTAAGGTGTTAATCACGATTTTCAAATATCTAGTTGTAGCACGGTAACGATAACAAATTCTCGTTTTTCTCAAAACTATGTGCTTTAAATCGGTGACCACAATAACTGAAAAACCGCTGAGCTGATTTGTCCCAAATTTTTACACAAGCTCAACAAATACATTTTGTTGTCGTCGATCGAAGAATTTTTAAATAAAATTAAAAATTATTATTTTAATCAAGAATTTAATACGAATTTTTTCATGAATATTAAATTATTGTCTTAAGAAGCTCCCATGTGAAAAAGTGATATTTTTCTAATTCCTTCGATCCACGACAACATCTTTTCATAAACTAACAGAATCCATTTTTTTTTTTGATTTCGGATGATTCTTAAAGGAGTTATGTTTGTCACCGCGAGACACATTTTTTTCGATGACCTTTGGGAGATTGCATATAAAGGATAGAAAAATAAATATTTTTAAATACAAAATTTTTTTTAAACTCATTAAAAGATGTTTAATATAGAAATACTTATATTTAAAATAAAAAAAATACTTAAAATAAAAACCCAAAAACTGCATTTTTCCGACCGCCTGTTGTTTTTGTTTTTTTTTTTCAAGCGCCGTTCCTACGACGGTCGAATCTAAGTAACCGGAACAGACCCGGATTTTTATCCGGCCAAGAACTGTCAGCTCGGCACCATTCCTCGAAATTACTTCAGGAATGTTTTCTGTCGCTACAACAATAACAACTCTTTTTAAGCGCCGTCAGAGATCACGAGTAACTCGAAAAATGTTATAAAAATATTAAATATTTATTTTAAAAAAATTTAATCAAAACGGTCCAGTTTTTTGTTACTTATATAACTGTTTTTGAAATATTTGAATTTACATGGCAACGTCTGACGGGTCAGCTAGTTTTCTTATATTTCTTCGACTATAGAAGTTCAAAATAGCAGAATTTTTAAATAGTGATCATATGTAATTTGAGTATTTAAATGAATATATCAAAACTTGTGGATGTGATTTCACAATCAGTGGACTAAATGTGTGTCTCGTTCTGAATTATTTTTATATCATGAGTGACACATAGTCCTATAGAACTGTTACCTACATTGTATATTATTTCCACTATTGGCCAACAATTGAGGCAATATCTTTTGAATATGCTGTTGTTGCAGAGCCTGTTGTTCTTGGTTGGTACTACCGCACGCAGTTGTAGAAGTTACAGCTGTTTGGTTTGAAAATTGACCCATTTGAATAGACGGTTGTGATTGAGCCTGTTGTTGCTGCATGGCCACTTGTGAATGAATGTTCTGTGGAAGCGGTTGGGTTTGGTTTATTCCTACTGCGTAGGCTGATTGTATATTCGTCATAGGTTTTACTTCATTTATTTGGTGCAGAAAGTTTCCTGCTCCCAAATTTAGAAACCCGTGCTGGGAAGTTGTTGGCTGTACATATAACACCTGAGGTTGTGTTTCTCCAGCTATAATAAATATAATTAAAGAAAAGTTTACTAAAAACGGTGAAGCACGGTGTACATATCAAACTAGCAGAAAAGTTCTGGATGTATTTTCTTTTTCAAATACATATGATATACTAACCGCAAATGCTTGATGCATTAAATATTTTTATGAACAATTACACAGTACAACATACATTTTCCCGCAGCGATGAGATAGTAATTTTCGGAAAGAGGTCATTGTCCTGATCATTTTATCCGAAGAAAGTAATAGACTGCTACTTCTTAGTTTTTTGTTACACACAGTTGAAGTTTGAAGGTCTACGGAGTGGTTTAAAAATAATTTTTTGGGTTTATTCTTTATAAAAATATAATAATGAAATGCTTTTGCAAATATCTAGATATTTTTGGTTATGTTTGCGGAAGATATACTCTACATATTGAAAAAATAAAAATAATGTATAGTTTAGAAGAAGCGTATACATTGTATTTGGTGCGGGTTGTTAAAATTTAAACACATACTGGACACCACATTGTGTGTAAATCATGCCAAAGTGCTTTGTTAGGATGGTATAAAGTAGAAAAAAGAAGTTTAGATTTGTGACGAACGATCTGCTTTCGACTATATGAAAAAGGATGTAGAGGAATTTTTAGGCAAGAAACGTGTGCAAAACTATGAAGAATATGTGGAAGCTATGCACCACATGCAATATATGTGAAGATGTCCCTAAAATTCATTTTCTTGATTCTCATCTAAATTTCTTCGCGGAAAACTTGGGAGCCGTGTCAGATGAGCACGGCGAGAGATTCCACCAGGAAATAAAAACAGTGGAAGCACAATTTAAAGGAAATATAAATAAAAAAAATTCCGTGGAATTGATCCTGCTGAACATTCCAGAAAACGAGAATACGGAACATATACTTAATATGCACTTAAATCTATTATATAAAATATATATTATCCTTCCTGACGCTATAACTCCAGAACGCACGAACCGATTTCCACGGTTTTGTATTCGTTGGAAAGGTCTCGGGCTCCGTGAGGTTTATAGCAAAGAAAATTCAGGAAATATTTTAACAGAAAGGCGGGAAAATCTTTTTTCACATACAGCGCCATCTGTGATACATAGCATGTACTACAAACCAATATTTTAAGTAGATGGCGCCGGTGCGTGATACATTGTTTGACAGCTACTCATTGTTCTCTGCTCAATTAATTTCATGTGACAAACCGGTATTGTGTTCACTGTGAAATTGTGAAAAATAAGTTATTCGTTCATTACAATTGGAACTAACATTTCAATTGGAAACCATCAAATCAATCACGTGTATTGTGCAAATTTTTATTCAATTTCAACAACAGGCATTTGTCTTTAAGGTGGTAAGTTGAACTGTATAAATTATGTGGAGCGTGCATTTGAGGTTAAATTCACCACTCTATCCATAGTCCAAAATGCCTAGAGGACGACGTGCCAACATCGGCCGCCGCACAAGCATGCAAGCCAGCAACACGTGTGATTGAGACAACGCGTGAGCACACGAAGATCATTGGCATCATACAATCGCTTGGCATTCCAATCTGATCCCACTGCGAACTACAGTGATGATGCAAACTTAGATATTGGACCAATGACGACTATATGCCGATATTGCAATGCGTTAAAGTTCAAAAGAGAAGCGGCTGGATTGTGCTGCGCAAGTGGAAAAGTCAAACTGGATCCATTACTTACACCACCACAGCCACTGAAACCATTGTTCGATGGAAGTGATCCCGATTCCAGCCATTTTCTTCAACACATCCTTGAATACAATAACTGCTTTCGCATGACAAAAAAAAAACACCATCACACGATCATAAGTTACACCGTATTCTTCAACAAATGATTGTTTGCAATTACAGATACAAGGACAAATATATCATTTGCATGGTTCAATGGTGCCAACACCAGATGAACCGCATAAATTTCTGCAAATATATTTCATTTCGTCGATGGTCGATCAGCTGAATGAGCGGTGCAATATACAGGGAACACAACAGTTAAAGAGACGAATTATTGAACAGTTACAAGCATTTTTTCACGCTAATAATGCTGTGGTTAATATGTTCAAAACAGCATTGGAACGAATGCCATCGGATACGCACAAATTTGTCAAAATGCTGATTGTACCCCAACAGGTAAACATGTGCGAAGATTCAATGCACCCACCGTTAATGATGTTGCTGCAATTATTGTTGACAGGCAGACGTTGCCAGTAATTCCCCGTGCAACGGATGCAGATGAATTGAATGCTTGCCTGAAGGCATCACCTTTATGGACCACTAATATGAGAGTTCAACTTCAAAATGATCGAATTGCTGCACAATTTTCCAAACAATTGTTAGCTGTTGGAAATGGAAAAGTCAGAGTTGATGCGACATCTGGATTAATTACTCTTACCAACGACTTTTGCCGATTTGTAGACTCTCAATTAGCTATTTTTGAAAATGTTTTCCAAACCATTAGTGCGAATTATCAGAATTATGCTTGGTTAAGTCAACGAGCAATTCTTGCCGCAAAGAATAATGATGCACAGGCACTGAGTTTCACCATTCAATCAAAAATTGCTGGCGATTTGGTGACATACAATTCCGTTGATTCCATAACAAATCCCGATGATGTAGTAAATTATCCAACGGAGTTTTTGAACTCTCTGGAGTTACCAGGATTTCCACCACATAACTTGCAACTCAAAGTTGGTACAGTTATTATGATATTGCGTAATTTGAATCCGCCGCGACTTTGCAACGGTACTCGATTTTCGGTAAAAAGACTTATGCCGAATTTGATTGAAGCAACCATTATTAACGGAAAGTACGCAGGTGAAAATGTATATATTTCGACTGATCTTCCGTTTGACTTCAAACGATTGCAATTTCCAGTTCGCCTTGCGTTCGCAATGACAATTAACAAGTCGCATGGCCAATCGCTTAGTGTTTGCGGGATAAATTTAGAAAATCATTGTTTTTCACATGGGCAGTTATACGTTGCGTGTTCACGAGTTGGGAAACCATCCGCTTTGTTTGTGTTAACGTCAGACCAAAAAACAAAAAATGTGGTTTTCCAAAGAGCACTTCAATGAAACGGATAATTTGCGGACACGTATAACGCTTCGATTCAGTATTTACTTTGGATCCACTTTCATTTACTTAGAGAAGTTCAACTAAATAACACTTCATTTTTCATTTCAAATGAAATAAAATTTTTCCTTTCCAAATATAAAACAAAAAAAAAATGTTCTTCATCTTTTAATCACCAAACGAAATATTACATAAACCAAAGCCATCTGGTGGCGAAACGGGGTTCGCCAGGTTTGCTAGTCTTTTATAAATTAAAAATTTATTTCAATTAAAAGTAAAATTTGAAATAATATGTAAATGTTGTGTTATTTTAGGTGTTGTATATATTTAAGTGTGAAATTGTGGTCTAAAAGTTTTGTTGTACAAGAGCCTCCCTAATTTTTCATTAGGAACATTTTTGCTGAACATTGTTTAGGTTTTAGATCAACCATTTAACCTGTAGATGGCGTTCAATTGATTTTTTACTTTTTTTGTACGGTGGCGCCCTCTAAATTGTCTACAATTTTAAATTAGACCCAAAATTCGAATTCCTTGAGCTTAAAAACCCCCGGTACGAAGTTTAATTCAAAACGCTACACAAAAACCAAGGTTTACAATATTTTATTGATGATTAAACCACTCCGTAGACCTTAAAACTTTAACTGTGTGTAACAAAACCCTTAGACCTAGCAGTCTATTACTTTCTTCGGACAAAATGATCAGGACAATGACCTCTTTCCGAAAATTACTATCTCATCGCCGCTGAAAAAATTGTCGTAATTTGTTGTACTGTGTTATCAAAACAATGATCGTACAGATACCCATTTATACAACCTAAAGTTATATACATATGTGAATGCGCTGATGCCTCGGTGGTACATTAGTTCGTACAAAGTAACATTATAAAGATGTACTCTTCCTTTCACAAATTTGAAAAGAACGGATAACGCTGACGCCTGCACTTATAGTGCTAAGCCCTAGAATAAGTAACTATTCGTGACTTATCAAAGGAAAAGTTTTGTTTTTGTTTAGTCTTTATACACAATGCATTTCTAGCAGCTCAATCTTTGAAACACGTACTCTATTATATCATATAAAGATAAGCTTATACTTACATTGACGCAACGCTTTTTGAAATTTTTCGTACTCAACATAGTGCTTCAAACGCAGTTCGTCTTCTTCAATCAGTTGACGTTGTCTTAGTAACAGTAGTCGCTGATGTTGATTAGTTCTTAGTCGCAAATTACACAGCTGATTTACCAAAGAGTCTAAGTTGTGTTTGATATCCTACAGTGAAAAACCAGACCGATTCATGCCCACCCGAAATAATGAAATGATCTAATCGTTCTTACAGATTGAATTACAGTAGGTAGTAATTGTGGATGAGTAGCGGCAAGTGAAACAGGCTCTTCATTTGACACAGGCATAAGCACAGGGGTGTCTGAAACTTGAAATTAATAATAAAAATATTTGTGTATAATGAATAGATATATAAATATATAATAACATATGCTTATTAGAATAGACATTTTCAGTATATGCTTTATAACCCCAATAGTCATGAAAAAAATATTTGTATAATATGAAAGAAGGATTTGCTGGATGAAGAATAATAAAATGAGACATCGGTTAAAACAAAAAATATATAAAATCGGACACATACTTTCGCCACTCGGATAAGACGTCTGCGATTGTTGGGTCACGACAATATGCTGTTGGTTCGTTTGTTGCATTAGATTATGGGATTGCTGCTGCGGGGGCCTAGTAACGGATGGTGGCTGCAGCTGAATTAGATTTTGGCCTTGTAGTTGACTTTGTATCTGCTGTTGAATCGGAGTGTGTTGCTGGTTTTGAACTTGTATTTTTTGAGTTTGCTGTTGGTTTTGAAATGTTTGCTGATTCTGAACTGGTTGCTGGTTATGAACCTGTTGGTTTTGAAGCTGCGGTTGGTTAGTAACTTGTAACTGAACTGGTTGTTGATTCTTAGTTTGCTGGTTTTGAACATGGGGATGATTTTGTATTTGAACATTCTGAACGTGTGAATTTACAACGGGCAGCTGTATATGTTTTTGCTGGGTTTGAGTATGTTGGGAAAGTTGTTGTTGCTGTTGTTGCAAAATTGTAGATTGCTGCTGATGCGGTATACTTGGTTGGTTAACCTGTGACGTATGTTGTTGAATAACTTGCTGCTGTGCTATATTTGGTTGTACTTGATTGATTTGGGGAAGCAGATGCGGTGGTTGTAGTGTTGGGGTAGCTGACCGCTTCTGCAATAGTAACTGTTGCAAAAATTGTTGTTGTTGTAATACCTGAGTAGTAATGTGAGTCTGTGTATATAACTGAGTAGGCTGTACATTTTGTGTCGGATTATTTTGTTGTAACGATTGTGGATAAATAAGTGGTTGATTGGGATTAGCATTATTTATAGCAATATATTGACCAGGAATGTGAGTAATTTCGGTTGGTGTATTTACTAGACTGTTCTTAGCTTGATTTAATGTGTGTTGGGCGATTGCCTGCAAATCGATACGTAGTTTTTGTGGTTCCGCATTAATCGGTGGAGTCGTCGGTACATCAGATAAATTCCCATTACCTATACCGCCTCCACTTTTCTGTTCTTGCACTCTGCTAACACTGAAACGCGATATTTTTCTCGAATTACGTTGGTCCTCTGATACTTTAGTATTTGTACATTGGACTGGTGTGACGGCTTTTATCTAATTCAAACACACAAAATACAAGAAGGTATATGCATACATTATTCGATTTCTAAAAATTACATTCGATGCGAATAATAAAGCCTTTATAGCTATATAAAGATGAAATGAAGATTACGCACCTTTATGGTATTAATATTAAAAGTATAATTTCGAGATATTGTTTTACTCAAAGCTAATTCAAGATTGCTTTCTTATAATTTACCTATCACATTAAATCATATCGTACGATATTCTATTAGAACACAAACTCTTGTTGCACGAATTATTGATTTAAATTGCAATATGTATACACCATATATCATAAACATCAAAAAATTAGAGTTATAAATGGTATAGAAGTTTTATTATACAACGATTCATATGCGCATTGGAATGCTAAGAATAATATATTTAAAAAAAAATCTACCTCATCTGCCACGTCGATATGTCGTAGAGCAGCCAGTTTTTTCTCCAAATCTGCTAATGAACTTTTGCTAAGTCCACCAGCTTGGCGATGGCCTGTATTAAAGTCGATATATCCAGCGCCGGCACTTATACTTGATGCACTACCACCTGCACCGCCAACTAATTAACAGAACTGTAGAAAATCAATTTAACTGTATCTATTTTACTTTACCTTCGGAGTTTGGATCTATAGGAGTGTGAGCCGATGTGCACGAAGCAGCACCACTACTAGTGAGTACATTAGTGCCAGGAACTTGGTACGAGGATTCCAATCCTTCAATTACATTTGTTGTAAGATGCTGGAAGTCGGAACCTCCACTTATATCAAGCGATGTGCGACGAGAGTTGTACACAGATGAACCACGAGCAGAATTTAAAAACCCTGTGGGAGTACTTTGACCAAGTGATTGCGCAGATGTTATAGGCGAAGGCTTATTTATCTGTATGAAGCGAAATGATTACAGATGTTTAAGTCATTCTATACCAAATTTCAAAACAGAATAAGTATATATATAAAAAGAGAGATATGCTTTAATGATGGAATGGAAAAACAAAATTAAAACAATAAAATGGAATGGAACGTCAACCAATATTTTTACCGAAAACTTATTTTTTAAATGTTTACCCTATTATATTTTTGATGTTTCTTGAGTCAGTAATTACTTTACAACCTTCTATAACTAGACATTAATAATATTCAAGCATAACAACTTATATATCAGTGGTGAAATTAGTTAAAATTTTTTTTACACATAACAGAAACAGAAAAATTAAAAACATTATATGAATGGTTATTCAGAACTCCAACACTTTTTACTACCTCGTCTTGATGTTGTTGCTGTGAGGGCGTTGGTGCCGTTGATAGCGCCGTAATATGTGGTTGCGTCGTTGACTGCTGGCTGATTTGATTTTGATCTGTAGTGTTATTAAGTGAAGCTACAACAGAATTAGCAAAAGCATGAGCGTGTGTTATATTTTCTAATTCTATTTTCAATTGCTCCAAAGTGTTATTTGAACCAACGGCTGATAATATTGACGGAGTAGTAACGGTATTGGTAAATGCCAAAGATATTGGTGCTGCAGTTATCAAAACTGAGGTACTTAGATTCGACAAAGCATCATTACTTGCCTCTGTCACAATTGCACTATCACTTAAATCCAGAATAACACTTTGATTATCATCTTTAATTTCAGTGGAGGAATTTGGAACTCTATCTCTTGAGTCTCCTATCCCCTCATCGGTTTTCATGAGCATAGATGTAAGATCCTTTGGGTTGGCTTGTGATGTTGTAGTTACTTCCAATGTTCCATCCCCACAGGACGTAATAACAGGATTCACAAGAAAACGTGATATCTTTCTAGCTGCAGGCACCACAGGCACCGGAGGCGTAACTGCTGTAGCACCAATGATTTTTTGTCCTTGATCATTAATATTATCAAGGCTCAGTTCCATGTCATTACTCTTATTTGAGGTTTGTATGTATGTTGCTCGTTCTGCTTCAGTAAATTGTCCTGTGGCATTAGATGTTTCATCAGAGTTTGTTTGATTTTCCGGTGTTTCTAAAGAAGAAACGGCATTTGCTGTAGCAGTGGTAACTAAAGTATTAGGCACTCCAGCATTTGCTATCGGCTGAGGGGACGAAGTTAAAATCTCTCTACATATCTCCACTTCATTACTGGCATCATTTGGTGGGTTTTCCATTGTGAAAGCCGATGTTGACGACGTAATTGTGTTATCAGGAGTATAATCAGACGATAGGGATGTGTATTCAGATGCTGTACTTGTTTTTCGAGACGCCGATCCAGATCCTATTACATTGTCACTACTGTTGTTGGCGGTATCTGATGTTGTAGTAGATGAAGACATAGATGCCGTTGTAGCAGTAACGATTGTGGCCAAATTAGAATTTCCCGAACTTATTATCGCTCCTGACGAAAATGCTGTGTCTTGATCTGCCGGTCGTCCGTTCGAAATTTCCAAACTTGTCTTCGTTGATGGCATGGTATTGGTTTTAGCAACTACGAAAGAGCCAATATTTGTGGAAAGTGGCTCAGCAGTCAGTATAGTAGGTTCAAACATTTTAGACATATCACTTGAAGTCTCATCACGCTGATTAATCAGAAAATTTCACAAAGTTAAAAATGTATATAAATAGTTAAAAAAAAAAGAAAAAACAAAAGTGTGTAATTATAGATCAACTAAATACACTATTCAATATATATTATTACTGGGAGCAAATAAAAAATTAATCTTATTTTAACAATAAAAATACTTTTGACAAATTATTTTTAGATATAAACCAAGCCAAAAAAGATATTGCATAAAATTTAAGTTTAAAAAAATCGTTTCACCATGTCTGACTAACAGTTTATTGAGAGGAAATAAAAGTATAATTTGTATTACTATTGTAAGCACAAGACATAACCAAACCAAAACCAATTTGCTTAATTAACATGTTATTCGTATCACATTAGTAATAAGTGCTAAAATTCATATTCTAACCAATATAACCAAAATCACAAAATATGTTAACAAAAATCTGCAAAGTTTTTTTTAATAAAAAAGTTCTCAGAAAAAAAGTCAAACAATTTATTACTAGTTGAAAAAATCTAAAAGAAAAGTATTATTGATTTAGTGTTTGATATAACCTTACTTCTGGTTAAGATTCTGATGACTTACACATATATGTTTTATAAAATTCAAAATTGGCTTTTTAATTAAGTGAGGTCGGTCTGAGGAAACAAATCCAAATAGTAAATCTATCTAGAGAAAATAAAGGGGAACAGTTTAAAAAACGAAATGCTAATAATGTTATCTAGCCTAGACTTTTTTTAATGGTAAAAGTGAAAGTTCATTTCAATTCAGAGTAAATATATGTTGACGGCATATACGGGGAAATATACAATAAATAATATATATTTACATTTTGCT